TATTTCATGTTATGACTTTAAAAAAGGCACTGTTTGAATGCAAATTCAGGCCCCAAATTCAGGCCGCATGCTGGATGTATAATCCCTTATTAGATTAAACATGATAAGTGCAGTATTTGCCTGTGACAAACTGTCAATTTGTTTCAGGGACCTCTCTTGTGTTTTTTTTTTTATTTACTGAAATATGGATAAGGAAGTTTGGATATAGGAAACCTGAGCTGGTAACACTGACCATCCTGGCCACCACCCTGAATCTGCCTCTGGTTTCACGGGCAAATACGTCATTTGAACCTTGTGGAAATATAGGCTAATTGATAAAATATGATGATGATATAAAGTGATGATAATAAGTGGATAATCCAGTTCTGTAGCTCTCACCATAAGTACAGCCTTCGTCTGTGACAAAACAAGCTCACTTGGAGCAAAATCAGAGTTCTGGGTTTTATTTTGAGTGACCTGCCAAGTAAGTAGACTTGTCTCTCAAGTTATTATATTATTATTTATCAAAATATTCAATTATTGTTATAAAAATACACACCTCACAGGAGGCAAGTCCTAAAATCTGTCCTATCTGTATTACTCAACTTGATTAACTTTCTTCTGATGAGGATATTAAAAGAAGGAAACTTAAAAGTTGGTATTTGGAAATTCCTTTTTTATTTTCAATTTCATCACACTGACAGAGCAATATGAGACATCACAATTTTGCATGCTGAAAGCAAAACTTTGAAACAAGATTTTTACTCTGAACGTTTCATTCGTGACGTTTGAGGATGGTCTTGTATCCAGGGAAGGTTATTTTGATACATCAGTATAGACGTTGGGTAAATGTGGGTAGCTGCAGTTCTTCTGCAGTTGAAAGACACGATACCAACAGCTGTCCCATCGCACCATTTAGCAATCTTACACGGGTTGTTCTTGGCACCCACAATATCAAGAATGTTGATGAAGGAAAAATCAGATATATTGAGAAAATGTACAAACATGAATCTTATCAGGATGTGTGGACTGGTAAAGACATCATGCTCCTTAAAGTAAGTATATAAGTATATTCTTAGGTGGTATCATTCGTTGTTGTGGCATATCCTAACAATACCAAATAAAAATGTTCTGCTATACACACTACATCATGGTTTTATCGAAAAACAATAGCAAAAACACAATATACCAACATCAATATTACAACAATTGTTTGTTACCTTGAAGTCTGGTGAATGAAAATAGACTCTGCCAGTTTTTGCTCTCTCTGATTTCCAGTTGTCTCGAAAAGCTGAACTGAACAAAAAACTCCAAACGACCCCCCTTCCCAGATCTGAAATACATTTGGGGGACAATACAAAATGCTACGTAGCTGGATGGGGCTTCATCAAAACAGGTGGAAGAGTTGTTGATGAGCTGAGAGTGGTGGATGTGTCTGTCATTAACCCACGAGTCTGTCGAGAAATGTGGCCTGGTCTTCCCAACAATGTCATCTGTGCAGGTGGATATAAAACAAAGAAAGGATTCTGTCAGGTATTTTTTTGTATTATTTTTTTTATAAAAAAATATCAGCCCTATTTCTTGTATAGAAATGCAAACATAATATAAAATAAATACATAATAATAATATGAATAAACAATTAAAAATACTTCCCTCTCACAGGGTGATTCTGGTGGCCCTCTGGTGTGCGATGGGACAGCTGTTGGTATCGTGTCTTTCAACTGGGAGAAGAACTGCAGCTACCCACATTTACCCAACGTCTATACTGATGTATCAAAATACCTTCCCTGGATCAAGACCATCCTCAAACGCTCGAAACGTTCAGAGTAAAAATCTTGTTCAAAGTTTTGCTTCAGCATGCAAAATTGTGATGTCTCATATTGCTCTGTCAGTGTGACTGAAATTGAAAATAAAAAAGGAATTTCAAATACCAACTTTAAGTTCCTTCTTTAATATCCTCATCAGAAGAAAGTTAATCAAGTTGAGTAATACAGATAGGACAGTTAGGACTTGCCTCCTGTGAGGTGTGTATTTTTATAACAATAACTTGATATATTTGATAAATAATAATATAATAACTTGAGAGACAAGTCTACTTACTGCAGGTCAACTCAAATAAAACCAAGACTCTGATTTTGCTCCAAGTGAGCTTGATTTTGTCACAGACGAAGGCTGTACTGTAGGTGAGAGCTACAGAACTGGATTATCCACTTATATCATCACTTATATCATCATCACTATTTTAGCAATTAGCTATATTTCCACAAGGTTCAAATGACGTATTTGCCCGTGAACCAGAGGCAGATTCAGGGTGGTGGCCAGGATGGTCAGTGTTACCAGCTCAGGTTTCCCTATATCCACACTTCCTTATCCATATTTCAGTAAATAAAAAAAAAAAAAACTACAACAAGAGGTCCCTGAAACAAATTGACAGTTGTCACAGGCAAATACTGCACTTATCATGTTAATCTAATAAGGGATATACATCCAGCATGCGCCTGAATTTGGGGCCTGAATTTGCATTCAAACAGTGCCTTTTTTAAAGTCATAACATGAATACTCATACTCGATGAAATGTCACTAAGCCATATCTTCGTTATTACCCACAGCTGTGTCTCTTTTCAGCACTTTGGGACCATTCTTACTTTAATAAAACAGCCAAAGGCATAAACACATTGGGCAGTACACCTATAACAGGCCACACATACATTCCACTAGCTTCAGTAGCTCAGTGCAATCTCTCAGAACGGAAGTCTGATAGAGATAAGATCGTGGTTAGACAGACAGACCGTATGTAATTTTTACCGTCTGGTTTTGTGTCTCTCAACTCGGCAAAAAGGCACAACTAATCAAACTTCTCACTTCTGAAATGAACATAAAGGACCAAGAAAGGGTGTAGCTGAATGGGGTTACACTAGAACTGAAGCTTACGTTCTTGATGAGCTGAGAGTGGTGGATGTGTCTATCATTAACCTAAAAGTTTGCAGAGAAATGGGTTGGTCTTCTTGCCAATGTCATCTGTGCAGGTGGATATGAAACAAACAAAGGATTTTGTCAGGTATTTTTTCTGTCCATTCATAGAAAATATCAGCTGGTTTCTAGTCTAAAAGAAGTATAAACATGATACATCTTCTTAGATGAAAAGGAATGAATTAATCACAGGGTGATTCTGGTGGCCCTCTGGTGTGCAATAGAACCGCTTTTGGTGCTGTGTCTTTCAACAGAAAGTTTCACTGTGAATACCCAGAAGCACCCAGTGTCTACAGACATCTCTAACTTCCTCCGGATAAACAAGATTCTCAAGGAGGAAAAATGAAAATTGTAAAAATCTTACACAAAGCTTTGCTTCAGCATTTCAACTGTATTTGGGGGGTGACGTTGCTCTGTCAGTATTTGCTCTTTAACAGAAAGGCAAAAAACACTGTTTTGTCTTTCCTTCATCAGAAGATTGCTGTGTGAAGAGTGCTGTTCAAAGTATTTTAAAAATTGCAATGGCCCCTCTCCAGCAGCCTGTCAAAAAAAACTTCTCCAGGTAAATGTGATGCAGTATGTGGTAAAGCATTGGAAAATAGCACCCATTGTGTGTGTGGTTCAGAGAAGCAGGACACTCAGGTTAGACATTATAACAAAAAGGTAAAGCAGTGTGTTGAAAACATTAATGAAAAAAAATACATGTGAATTAAACCATAACCAACAGAGCTTCGTCCATTCAGGTAAAAGAAAAAGATGTAAATGGCAGTAATATTATAAAGTGAAAATTTATGTATTAATGCATTTATTTATTTAATCCAGTAGGCACTGGTACAAAAAAAAAGAAAAAAAGACAAAGACAAAAGTCAGCAGCTCGCACCACTGTGTGGGTATGATGTGTGATATCCACAGAAGATAAGATTAACTGTCAGGACAGCTCACTTGAAGATATGTTGAGGTTGGAAACTATGGTTTCTGAAGTTCATCTAGTTTGTCACATAATTCAAAGAAATGTGTGGGTGGGCTGTGTCAAGTAGATTCTCGCCAAAGTGTTGTGTTTGTGTAATAATTACTAAATTCATCCAAATAATGTTGAGTAAATATGGCTAAGAAATAGTAAGAGCATAAGAACAGAAAATTACATCATTGTCATAGTTGATAAAGATGACAGTTTAAGGATTGAGGCTGCTCGAAATGTCATTAGTTTTGCACATAACCGTATGAACCAAAGTATCGGACAAACTGACATTTTGACCTGATAATGGTGCCAAAGTGAAGGGATAACCAAAGTTATAACAAATTGCACTGTACCAAATTACACAGCAATCTTTCTATTAGTTCTTAAGACCTTTTCCTCAAAACCACAAATGTCACCCTCATTGTGGCGCTAGAGGAAAAGAGGAGAATAAGAGGATCACCAAAGTCTGCAAGATTTGTCCTCTGAGAGCTATGGATATGTGAACAAAATTTCATGGCAATTTATTCAAAACTTATTGAGATGTTTCTGATCAATCATATGTCTACCAAAACAAACAGTTTGGCTTTAACATACTTTCATTGTCTTATGGAGACAATAATTATTGTGTCTGAGTAGCCTTTGCAATGTTTGCGGTTTAACAAACATACAAAAAAAAAACCCTCATTTAAAATACTGTATTATTTTTTTATTATTTTGATTCCTATATTAACATTCTTCATAAGCAGATATAAAGTCAGTGAGTTAAGTTAATAAAGCGAATGCAATGGTTTTTCCAGTGTTTAATTGAGCTCAACACAAATTCAACAGTGTTTTCTTCTTAGTGTTCTGTAATCCATATACTTCATAATCTGTCCACCTAAAAGTGGCAGCAAGTACAGTGATCAAGGTTAGATACAGTTTTACCAGTGAATTTAATAATTTCATACTTTCACTTCCTTCCACACAGCTGAGAAACTTAGTTGCATTCTGCAGTATGTTACATGACACCAAAACATGCTCTTTCCAAAGTAAAAAAAAAAAAAAAAAGATGAAAGAAACCTGATGTAACCTAATAAGAAAGAGGAAATTGATTTTGCAGGATTGAGATCAAAGCAATAACATTGAGAATAAACCACAATTTTGTAAGTATCCCATATGAACGGACACACACAAACACAAATCACACTTCGTCTCCTATTCTACTTGTTAATCACTTATCAACTTGTTAATCTAACTCATATTGACCTTTGCTGAACAAGTGTTTGACTTTCGATTCATCACTAGACATGTTTCTCAAGGCAAACCTGAACTTTTTGAGCATTTCTTCAACTCTAACCGTCCCTTGCACCAATTATTATGAAACCCTGTTCTGAAAATCAAACCATATCTTTTGTAATCGCAGCAATTTCACCGCAGCATGTTAGCAAATTCACTGAAGCAATAAAGACCACAAAATAAGCAAGATGTTTTCTTCTCCAAAAATTATAAGACCAAGAGTAGAATGCATAGATCTGACCAGACACCATGGTGGTCAACTTCGTACTCATGCTGTTCTTTGTCCTAAATGGTAAGATACACCGACTGTATGATATATAATCCCAAAGCAGACAAACATACAGCATTATTTTTTCTAATGTCTTTTTTTGGTCCATAGTAAAGATTTTTTAAAAAGCTACAACTGTCACAAACCTAAATTAAGTTGGATTAACATACGTAAACAATGATGTATTTTGTGTTCAGGAGCTGATGGTACTCATATTGTTGGAGGCAGAGACGCTGCCCCCCACTCGCGCCCCTACATGGCCTCGTTGCAAGTCCGAGGTGTACATAACTGCGGGGGTGTACTGGTGAGAGAAGACTTTGTGCTGACAGCAGCACATTGTAACACACCTAGGTAAGAATTCAAATCTTTTGTTTTGTTGGAAGCAATGACATAAGTGCTTAAAGAACCATAACAGATAGCTACCTCGGGATTTGAAATCATTTTAAAATGGATAAAAACCTTTCTTAACACACATTTTTTCCCCCCACATCATATGACATTTTTTGGGGGGGAAATCTGGATTCTCAGAGAAAACATGCTAGTATAAAATATTTCCTGTTTTCCGTGCAGCTGCTTGTGTCATTTCATGTCAGTTTGGTTTGAAAATCAACTTGCAGTGACTTTATTCAATTAAATTAGACATACATAAATAATCTATCATAGTAAAACATTATATTTGTTCTAATTATGGTCAAACTGATGTTAAGTTACAAGCAGGAACTTTTTTTTTGGTACTTTCAGGGATTCTCTCTTTGACAAAAAAAGTGATGCTGGTAATTTTGACAGAAAGCACTCATTAGATTAAATTGTTTGAAATGTATCTAAAATCTTGCATTATGTTTTGAAAAGGTTTTCTTTCAGCATCTCAGAGTTTATTAACAGCCTTAACATCATATCTAATGTCCAGTCTTCATTCAATTGGGAATTTCTAGACCACACAGAGTTGTGCTTGGAGCGGATTCCCTGTCACGTAATGAGACTACAAAGCAGGAGTTCACTGTTGCCAGATCCATTCCACATCCCAACTATGATGGACATACAAATGATATCATGCTCCTAAAGGTGAGGAGAGTTGAAACTGTTGTCCTCTACACTATCAGATTTAAAGTAGAAGAATCCTACCTTAATTATTTCTAGATTGCAGAAAAACAATATAACTTGATGTTTAGCATACACAGACTCTAATACAGTTAACATGTTTTGCATTTTTCTGCCATTACTCTCTTCTTCTCAGCTCAACCGTAGGGCCCAACTGACTGAGGCAGTGCAGCTGATCTCTCTGAAAAGGGGCAGTGTAAAGAAATCAAGTCAGTGCATTACAATTGGCTGGGGGGATATAGGGGATAATAAAACCCTAGCCAACACACTGCAGGAAGTCAACGTAACCATCCTTTCAGGGCGGACATGTCGTAGCAGATGGGGACAGGTTCCCATCGCCAAATCAATGATTTGTGGTGTTGGGGCGAAGGTCTTTCAAGGCTTCTGCTCGGTGAGTACACTGGCTGGACAGTGATCAAGCAACGCTGAGCAAGGGAAAAAACAGGATATTTTAAGATTTATTTTAAGTACACCTACTGTTAAGTATCTTGTACCTTTTCTCTTCAAGGGGGATTCAGGTGGTCCTTTGGTGTGTGACAGAGCTGTAGCGGGCGTTGTCTCCTTCTCTGGACAGCGATGTGGAGACCCCAAGACCCCTGATGTCTACACACGCGTATCACCCTTCAGGAAATGGATTAAGAAAGTGATAAAAAACAATTAGGCAAATTAGTTGGAGTATTAATATATATGCTGACTTGTACTCTTCAAGAGAAGGCTATTAATAATATACAAATGTGTGGTGTTATGTTGTTTAAAGTGACCAGTGGGGTGGGAAAAATTCTTTTCGTCCTTAAGTTTCAAAAGTATATTGAACTGAAGGTAGAAATAAACTAAAAATGAAAATGTCTGTATTATTCTTTAAATTGTCCATCTCTGTTCACCAAACATTACAAAAATTAGAAATTGTGCTTCCTCTTGCTCACTAGTAATATACAACATAATCAGGATTAATTAGCAAGGATTTCTTTTCTCCAATCCTGTTTTCTCAAAGTTCCCCCATTACCTCTATAATTTTACAGAACTTGAAATTAAGGAAAAAAAATATCCAGTGCACACATTTCATTGTTGTTTTGAATATACATAATACATATTAACACAATCTCAACCTTGAATTCTGTAGTTGGCTTTGTAAAGAAATCTTTCAGATCATAGTGGTGGATTGGTGTGTCAGTTAAAGTACCAGGACACTGAGGTAGACTAGTATTTCTACAAGTTATCAGCTGGGACAAAGTAGCCTATCATGGCTCACTATAAAATATCAGTGAAGGCAGGTGTCCACATTTACAAACCCTGAATGCTAGGTCAGTGATGAATGTGAATGGCTGCCCTTATGATATGGATTATGATGCCCATGGCACTGATAGGCATTCGGTTAATATTTCAAGATCATTTTAAAATTTGGTCATCACCTATAGTGTGCTGCCTTAGAGAGCCTCTACTTATGCAAATAAGTTGTGCAGTCTGATGGTTTTGGTTGAAATTGTGAAAACTGATTAAAATACTAAACAAAAATGAACAAGTGTGGGTTTAATTTTATTTTAAAAGTCAGATGTAACTTGTTCTACAGCAGTAGTGTTATGTTAGTTGATTTTCAGAAACTTAAACTCCTGAAATGTTACGGAGAGCGAGAGAGAGAGAGAGAGAGAGAGAGAGAGAGGAGAGAGAGAGAGAGAGAGAGAGAGAGAGCGAGAAAGAGAAACATAATGATAACATTAGATGACAGCTTGATAATATTGCTTTACAACTTTAACACCTATTATGCTATCTGCCCTAAAGTTAAACTTTAAACAATTATTGCCTCTCATAAATTGCTGACCTCACATCAGAGCAAACATTAACTTAACTTACTCTGTAATGTCGCTCGTGCCTACGCATACCGGAATTAGGCCTTTTCCAAAGAAGCCCAGTAAACACCAAAGTAAAACTCGGGTCGTGGTCGTCACGGTTAGAAGTCCAAATAATGAATAAACACCAATTCCCACTTTCATCGCGCCCGCGTTCATGTCTTCTCTGAGGTCATGGTAACCGAAATGCTCGCTGGGAGCACGAGTCTTTTCTCGCCATCTCCCATTTTCCACAGGTTTCGCGAGATTTACGTAGACTGGTTGGTGTGTGGGAGCATTTCTCCGCCAGACGAACTGAACAATACTGATATGAAATCTGCGTAAAGGTTAAAGGTAATAAAAATGTGTTTTGAAGAGAGGAGAAGCCTGTTAAGACCCATTCGTTGCTGATGTTTGTTAGCTGCCATTGGGGACACTGACGAGCGGATGTAGCTAGCCGCCTCCACTTACCTACAGTCACATCTGCATTGAGGTAGAGCGAGGACAGACGAGTGTTATTGATAACCCACAGGGTGAGGTGTAGGTGTGTTGGATTTAGTCCAAGACAGGTGACTTACCGCGTAGTTTATCGGGCTCGCCTAATCATATTATACGTGCATGTTGCTAATGTATAAGTTAGTGGGAGTAAAATGTGTCCGGCTAACGTTTACATACTGTAACTTGTCAGATACACTGAAATGGCTGACGTATTCTCTTTAAATTGACAGATTTTTTTTAAATCCTTCACTGAGGCATATGATAAAACTACACGGTCTTGCCGTAGTGGTGCTGTGTATTACAAACACTGACCTCCATGTCTGTATAGTTAAAGTAAATACCCAGGAAGTTATTCCATCATGTTAATCCATTGGCTGTTGGAGTTGTCAGTCTGTGCTGAGCTGGCTGCAGCCTGTCACGGGTCTGTTCTGACAGGCGAGCCTCTCAGCGAAAGGAGAGGCCATCCTTATGGTGTAGCATACTTTACATGTGAAGTTTGGCAGCTGTCATACTCACTCACATAATAACTGAACATTGCCCTGTCTTTCTCTTGATCAGTAGCCTTTGAATTTCTGGAGGCATGTCCAAGAAAAGGGGCAGGTATGTAGAAACAAAGCTACTGTATGTGCCATCATATGATTGCCATTATTGGTGGTTTCAGAAGATATTGTAACAGTAAAACTATAATGTCACAAACAGCTACATGAAAAAGTGGTTAATCCAGATACTCAAATCACTGGAATTAACAAATAAGATATGTTGGACCAAAGGCTGAAATGAATGACAAAAAATCATATTGCATTCTGATTTAAATAATCATTGATGGTGCTTGCAAATAGACCTGCATAAATAATGTAGGTTATTTGAAGTGGCCTCAGTTTACCTAACTTTCCAGAAACATCTCAAATGCAAATGTATATAAGTGATCAAACAGCTGGAATAAGTTACATAGCCTGATATCATAAAACTTTTTATTTGTGTAAGATGCATACTCTGTTTTAAACCTTAACCACAGACACACAGACCTGCATATTCATCCTGTTTTACCAGAAAGCGGAGCAGCGGGGAACTGAGTGACACAGTAAGCCCAGACCCGAACAGCATTCTGGGAGTCCGTATTCAACATAACTGGCGTGAGAAGGGGAACCAGAGCAAATGGAAGGGAACAGTGCTGGACAGGCTTAGTGTAAATCCTTCTCTGTTCATGGTGAAGTATGACGGCTTTGACTGCGTCTATGGCATCGAGCTGTTCAAGGATGAGAGAGTGTCCAACCTGCAAGTCCTATCAGAAAAAGTTGGTGAGTTAGGAGAAGTTTCTCTCTTACTTTATTTTTCAGATAATAAAGGTTGATATTTGCTTCTTTTTTTTTTTCTTGCAACAGTTGGGTTGTACAGTATCTTGTACATCCTTTGTGCCTGTGTCTCCACAGTAAACAACAAAATCAAGATACCTCCAGGGGCTGAGGAGCTGGTGGGCAAAGCTGTGGAGCATCTGTTTGAAAAGGAAGATGGAGAGAAGAATGAGTGGAGAGGCATGGTCCTCTCCAGAGCTCCAATCATGACCAACTGGTATTATATCACTTATGAAAAGGACCCCGTTCTTTATATGTACCAGCTGTGGGACGACTATGCTGATGGAGACCTCAGGATTCTGCCTGAAGCAGGTACTCACTAAAGACAGATTGATACTTGACAAAACTTTAAGTCTTTGATAATGTTGTCCTAAGGCTTGATGGATAAGATCACGAGCGCCCACTACATGACGTAAATCAGTTTTCCACTTTGGAAGATTGCATCATTTTTTTTGGGGCACAGACACCATGTGAGTTCATCAGCAGTTACAGCGGTCATGGAAGTCTATTCATAGTCTTCTTCAAGTGCTTCATCAAGGGCTTTGACTCCCAGTAGCAAATAGGCAAAATTATGTATTTTAACATAAGCACTTCTTCAGCAATGTCACTCTGACATATGCTATCAATAATTAAAGTTGTTCACAAAAGTAAAAAAAAAGGAATCAGATTGTAATTAGGCAGCGTCTTCTTTGGAAGATTAGATAGTCACGGTCATGAAAATATTTCTGCCACAGTCGGATAAGGAGAGCCAAAACTCTAATCAGTGATTTCATCAAACAACTGATCCTGGAGCTGTTCCAGAGGTAATGGGTATGTTTAGACATGCACAAATTGCTGCTTCTAATTTGAAAACATTCAAACGACTTGGCACACAAACATTGACAGTAATTCCTAATCAAGTCTAATTCAGATAGTGAGAACTCTTAATTAATAAAAATCTTAAATACAGAGGCATTCTGCAAAATACAGAGACTTAGAAGAACTTTTTTTTTTTTAGTCTGTTAAAGTTTTGCTTTCATAATAATTTTCACTTTACAGATGTGATTAAAAAAATATAAAGGATTCTTACACTGTAGAGCTGTTTGGAGATTTTCTTTCCTTAATTTCAGGTTCTGTAAAATTATAGAGGTAATGGGGTAACTTTAAGAAAACAGGACTGGAGAAAAGAAATCCTTGCTAATTAATCCTGATTATGTTGTATATTATTAGTGAGCAAGAGGAAGCACAATTTAATTTTTTTTTAAGTTGGACCTAACTCAGATATAATTGTAATTCTAATGTTGTGATGTTTCATTCCTCTCCTCAGAAAACAAGCACCTGTTGCCTGCAGACAGGAAGCCAGGGGAGGAGACGGAGAGTCTGGTGGGGAAACAAGTGGAGTATGTTACTGACAAGGGTGTGAAGAGAACTGGCCTGGTCATCTACCAGGTTCCAGCCAAGCCCTCTGTCTACTATATCAAATACGATGATGACTTTCATATCCATGTCTATGACCTGGTCAAAACCACCTAGAAATAGTGGACACTTTTATGTCACTCTCCAGCCTCCCTCCATCTGCTTCTGTTCCACTCATTGTTACAGTCTGTTATTCAAAGCCATGGCAGGGTTGAATAGTTAATATGCTTTATTGTTCAGAAGAAAGTGCAATCTTTTTCTGTATGCACAGCAGAACTGTAGCACCGCTATGCTTTGCTATTTCGAGGAGAGGGAGTCAACTTGTTTTATTATTGCTGCTCTACTTTATACTTTAATGTTTGGACAGTCCCAAGATTGCACTGCCCAACAGCTGCAAAGTGCAGTTGATACTGCACTTGCATTGTTGTCCCTGAGATACTCACTGATCTGTCCTTAAAGTAATTATCTTAATTAAATCCTAGTATGATTAAAAAAGCTGTTCAAAATATTTAACAACATTTTTCTTTGGATTTACTTAATAGGTAATAAGCTTGGTATACACATTTTCTTCTGCATAGATGCCTTCCATGGACACATTTATTAAATGTAATGGGCAGATAAATATGTGTACTGTATTTATCTAACAGGTACATCAGATAAATCAGTGTTAGTACTGGAAAGGATGAATAAAAGCAGCATTGTAAGAACACCAATCAAGAACAATTCAAATGAGTTATGCTCACGTGGAAAAATGCTCCTGCACCTTCGCACCATTTTAAGTTCATCCATGGCTCTATGAATTGGCTGCATTTTCATGCTGGGCATTTCTTCTTTTAGCCTAGAAGGAAGGTTTCTGCACAGGCTCTAAATCATAGTTTAACAGCACAAGGAACATCAGATTCTTTGTACTGGTAATTAAGATGCTAAATTCCCACTTGAATTTGATCCTACACAAATCATCAAGTGCCTTCCGGCTTGTCATTTTGCAATATTGTACATACTGTATCTCTGACTATCTACGCTCTTAATGAATCTTCATGTATGAAGGCTGCTATTGGGTATTCATTCAGAAGTGGCGACAATGATGGCTTGAGGAAAGTTTTGCAATCATCAGTTTATATTAGTGCTGTGATTTGCTCTTAATGCAGTATGAAAATGTTCTTTACATATAACACACATCATCATTGGTTGTATAATCTCACTATTGATATTGTGGGGAGCACTTTAATTGTATAAAGTTTACATGTTTAGGTTATGGTATGCTATATCGTTTCCCCAAAATGCTTTTTCCTTTAGATCAAAATGTGGCAGAATAACGCTTTATATCACATGGATAAAGAAAAAAAGAAAATAAAAATAGTTGCAATACATTCAGATGACAGTATTTAATCTGTACAACTTGTGTAAAATGCCTTGTAACGTTGCCTGTTGTGATAATTCACAATATGAATATATCATCAAAACACCACCAGCTTTTAGTGAACAGTTCGTTAATATACATAAATTATAAACTGAATATTTAACAGGTATAATCAACTGACAAACCACTGTCGACAGTAACTAACTCTGGTTCTAGTCTGTTAAAACTGTCTCTTAGTCTTGCAAACATGACATGTATGCTTGCAGTATGGATTACATCCTAACCTCATCGCCATGTCCTAGCTGCTGAATTGGTCTTGCCCCTCTCAGCCTTCTCCGAGTCATTCAGCGTATCCCTCAGTAAAATAGTCAATCAGTAGGTGTACTGTTACTGTTATTTTTAGCTGTCAAAACTCTGCATGCATCATCTGCACAGAGTGCCTGGAGATTTTCAAACCTTACTTTGACAGTGGAGAAGTGACAATGTGTGGCAGAATCAGTAGTTTGTTTAACCCACATTAAAAATAAAACAATCAAAAAAATAGGGTTAACGCTGTACATCACCACCAGTGGTGCTGTGGAGTGTTTGTGTTGTGTAGAGTGGAATTACAAATGACTGTGTGCGCTCTTTCATGCTTTTGATCACCTCCTCCTGTTCTGAAGTTGTAGCACCATCAACAGGCAATTTGTGTCATTATTATTCTGTCATGAGTAATAAAGATTTTTGCACATTTGTTTGGTCTTATTCTTTAAACACACTGCCATGACAAACACGCAGACTCAATAAATCAAACTAAAGACTGGATGTGTTTTAAGATCGATGTATTACTTGAAACTAATTGGTGAAATTGCATATATACAACAGACACTCTTCATTACATTATTTGGATGGTTTGAGAAAAATGGGAGAACAGTCTGTACACACAAATTTGTGATATACACAAAATGACAGAACAACTTTTTTTAAACACTTTTTACTTTATCGCATTATGTACAACTCCCAACCAATGCTGCTATCATTCAGAGAACCACAGTGCCATTCAGAAAACTACACTCCTTGCAGCTGAATTACACCTATCGGTTTTCCTTTATGTTGGGTGTTTCTTCTTTCTTGTGAGGGGCTACAACTTTTGAAAAAGTAATGTCGTCTCTCAAGTGCAAAAGTCAAAATAATTGATAAATGTCAGGTTGCTCAGAGAGTTCCTGTTCACTTGGTGAGATCTTTCAGGTACTGCAAACCTTGATTCGAGTATTCAGTTGCCTTTGTGGGAGCCTCTGAAAGAGCTGAAATTGTCCACCGCACTCCTGCAATAAAATAAAAATCAATGGTTTGGGTTTGTGACTTCAAAAATACATGACCAAAAGAGTAATGCTAACCTCAAAAGTCAGAATGTTGATGCTGAAATTGATTATTGCACCAATGAAACACTAACAATATAACTGCATTCAATAAGTGAAGTACATGACTAGGATTTCAAATCTGTGCATGCCCAAAAACCAAAACTCATGACATTACTAAATTTGTACCCTCGCTTTAAGAACTGAAGGAAAGTTTTCATTCTGTTCTTACCAGAGTTCCATGATTGAACAGGGGAGAATTCAATCTTAGGCATGGTTGGAAGCTGAGCCTGAGGAGAGGGAGGATCCGTTATTTTGACACAGTGCAGTGTATATTACAGTGCATTCACAATAAACACTGCAAAGCAAATTCAAACGAGATAATGAGTGAAATATGAAATACATAATCACTCTTTGTTCTAGATGCAAGATGCAGTGAAATAGTGCACCCTGCCTACTACTGGAAATAATGATGGATGATAGATGGTAATGATATTATGAAATATCTCTGGGATATTTTGTAGGAAAAACATACTGTCACTTGATTATTTACTGCTTAGGTTATACTAAGATGTGTAATGTTGTCATTTCTGAAAAGACATGACTGGGCAAATCTGATCTTGATTTAACCAAAACTGCATATTTACTGTCAAATTAAAAGTTTTTATATACCTGCAAATTATATTCTTTATACACTCAGTGGCCACTTAGTTAGGTGCACCTGTAAAATCTAATGAAATCCAATACAACAGAGCAGCCATAAATTCTACCTTCACAGAGATAATAATTTCAGCGAAAAACTTTTAATTTAACACATTTTTGTAATTGCAGTCATACTGAAAACATTTGAATCTAATGTATTCCAGCGAAACACCACCACAATAAACGTATAATTGAATTCACACTAACAAGAACTGGCCTAGTAGATGTAGAATATGTTGCAGACCTGTTGTATGGGACTGCATTTGATTGTATCAATACACTGAATAGAGTGGCCAGGGATTGTAACCAATCACAGAAACAAATGTCTATTTATGCTCAGATAACAGTTGGTATAACTTTATATATTGAAAAGTCTTGACATGCTATTTTGGAAGAAGAATGTTGAATTTGTCTAGTGTAGATCAGATAGAAATACAACATGAGTATCATTTTGTTTTTAGATTTTTACTGTCCTTTGTTCTTGAAATTTCAAGATTTTTTTTGTTCAATGACAAAGGATACAAGAGTTGCTGGATATGAATGATTCATGTTGTCGATAAGAGATCCTCAATTTGGCAACTTATTAAGTGAGTCCACAGGAGTTCATGGAGAAAATCTAATATCAGTAGGGGTGGATGATTACTATTATTGTTGATTTTAATTGTCAAATGACCTGTACTGATTTGTGGCCAGCATTGCTGAAGGGTGTTCACTGTTGTACTGTAAATATTGATGTCTTGTAAAGGGTTCTGATAATCTCATGAGGGATGGGCCACGAGAAGACAGAACTCTTAAATTATCTTCATCAATTCGTTATACGAATCAACCAAGTGTCTACAGCACTGGCCTATTTGCCTACCTATGTATGCAAATAGGATACTAAATATGTCTGCCTCACGTTTTCCTTCCATGTGTTGCATTGTGATACCTACTAGCTGTGATCCAGGGCACTCCTGGATCAGGGCAAGATGTTAAAGCAGTTATCAAGCATGTTATCTGTACCTCCAGACCAAAGTACTTCATCCATTCCTCTATGGCTGGGGGTACTGCAACCTTGGCCTTCTCCAGGGCCTTTGAACCCTGCTCACTGCTTCCCAACAGGCCAGAGTCATAGGCAACATACAAAGCCCCTCCTGCAATGGTCACCTTGGTAGCCAGTCTGGAAACGAAAGAACAGAGTCTGGCTGTTAGCCAGAAATACCTACCCCTATAACCAGTCAAAATATGTTAAACTGAAAGAATGCACGGTTTCCTTTTTTACTGTTATCACAGTGCACCACATGAGAATGTCCTTTAGTTTTTCCGTTTGTAGTTATACATTTATAAAACATAAGCTAACGTTAGCCAACAAAAGAAATAAAGTGACGACGCACAGCATACAGCGATGTTAATGGTAAATACTTGAGCTAACTAACCGACTAACTAACTAACTAACTAACTAACTGATTAGTAAGCAGCGTCTAAAGACGACAGCTGGAGAGCTCTTAAACAGACTGACAGCTAACTTAGCGTGAGTTAGCTAACTGGCTAATTGAGCATCCAGCACACTGTAATAGCAGCGATAACTTAAGGGGAATTATGGGAAAAATACTAACTTCACTACGGGCAAAATCCTTGCCGCCATGGTCCACAACAGTGTCGTTTCCTTTTGCGTACACCTATTCCAGGTACGCTGAAATGAGTCGGAGTGAATGCTATCTGGTTAGCTGCACTGAAGGACAACCCTGCTTGATCCCTGCGCATACAGGTTGTGTCAATAAAGTTGCTCTTTCAAACGCTAATGTTATTTAAGAGCAGCAGATTCGTTCGTTTCGATGTTACTGCATTTATAGAAATTAAAATCACAGGGATGACGCCTTAGTTACATAAAAAGTTATTTTAAATTAGGTGGGGTTTTTTTTTAAGATACCAAATAAGTATAATTTTGCTATTTCTATGTGGGAAGAAGGACAGGTCTTTCAAGTTCAATAAACCCTTTATCTGAACAACACGCCCCCCTTACAAATGTCAGGAGAAATGGAGGGTGGAGAATTGCATAAATAGTACTTGGTTTTCATTTATCTCCCGTTCAAGGCAGTTGTGGAAAGGTCTGGTCTGGTCTTACTATCGCTTAAAATTATTAAGTACAAGTTTATAACATGGGTACTTTCACAAAAATCCTGTTAGCAAGTATATGTGTTGCCTTCATAGCCGTCAAGTGGAGTGCACCTAGTTTCAATCCAGGTAAGACAGATGCAGCTGCAATATAAAAATCTTTGTATATGTATGCTCTTGTAAAGTATAGGCACTTCTGTCTATAGGCCTATAGCTGTTAGTATTTTATTTTTGTATTTGGTCACTTTAACATCTGCAGACTTGCAGTTGTTGCCTACTGGCAATGGTGTGTTTCACCTACAGGGGGTAATATTAATATATAGTGTTACTGGTTGACAAAACATTGTGAAACTCTTTAAGAAAAAACAACAATGGTAGTAAAAATAATAAGAAAATAATAATAATCTTAGACTCTCAAAATAAGATGACAGCAAGAAAGCCCCCACAATGAAATAACCAGCTCTCATGTAAAATAACACAGTCCTGACAACACGGATAAGAAAATTAAAACTAACCATCAAATAATGGACAGGTAGATTTTTACAAACTGACATTCAGGAAATTATTTGCATGCAACCCTTTGGATATTTGGCAAAAAATATGCAAATGTTTGTTCTTCATGAATTTGTTCAGTGTTATTTGATTCTAAGCCTACCTACAGAGGTTAATTGATATAACTTGACAATGTTTTGGGGATAGCTGATTTGAGACAGGGAGTCATTTGTAGAATTATATGATGACCGGCTCAGTTTACTGAGCTGGGATATTTAAACAAGCTCAGATAACTTTATCTCTTTACTAGAAAGCCAGTCAATAACACCATAAAATATCAACTAATGACCAAAATGACACATCATATATCACAACATCAGTACTGTAGAAATATATAACCAGGGCTGTGCAATAATGCTGGAATGTGGCAGAGGAAATCCCCCAGTGTTATTTTGTTTCCTTTTTCAGGCAGAAAACTCTACTAAACTGTTTTTTAGTATTAAAATTATTCAAAATTCTGAAGTGTAATCACATCATGGGCTACAAGCTCCACATTGCAGTGTGGCCTATAAAATTGAGACCGTGCAGCCACAACTACATGGTCCACACTGCAATATGTACCGTGTAAACTTATCATGTGACTGTTTGGGTGGTTGGATGCTATACATGCCTACTGTTCTGCACTGAACAAACAAGCTGTATATCAATAAAGAGGTTTATAAAAGTTTTATGTTTCCCTTGGGGAAATTTAGGAAAGGAAGCACAAAATGAGCGAGTAATTGGTGATAATCTGACATGCTTTCCCCTTGTGACTGAGGCCTTACCAGAGAGAGAGAGAGCACAGCATTTGTCCACATTGTGAGGATGCAGTATACAAGCAGTTTTCACAAGTAATGAAATGATATGGTTTGAGTCAGTGGGGGTGGTATCTGCACATAAAGTTATCAACAATTACAACATTATATCACCCAATGAAAAAAAATCTGATACCAAACCTGATACTGTAGCTTAATGAAGATAATAATTTGACATTTGATTTGAGTACATTTTACAAACATAGATTCTTGCAAGTCCAGTTTGCTCAAGTTCAATTTTGAAACTTTAAATTCATATGTTTACGTAAAATTAACATATGCACAGTAATATTTACCTCATTATCTCTTTATCTACTGGCACAAATACCTAATACCAGTGTTCTTATGCATCTGTTGTGATACCATTTATGAGTATGTCTTACCTTTTTGTGTGTATCATCTATCCATGTGTGTGTATCAAATTAAAACTGTGTGACTTTGTTCCAGAATCTCTCAGAGGTGCCAGGGTATTGGTGACTGGAGCCAGTACGGGCATTGGTGAACAAATGGCATATCATTATGCCCGCTTTGGAGCCCAGTTAGTTATTACAGCAAGGAGGGAGAAAGTGTTACAGCAGGTCAGTGAACTTTACAACATTCTGTATATGGTATCAAGGCTAAAACGAATACATGTATGCACCAATGAATGCATCATCTGCCACTTGGTTGAAGCGTCATTCTATGTCCACCATGTCATATTCATAGGAATCTAGTCAGACAGAAAACAGCATCAGGTTAATAAAGAATATTTTTCAGTTGGTTGAAGTATGAGTATAAGGTCAAAGGTGTTTTCTATATTCTTTTCTGCAGCTGCATTGGACAGTTAACCCATTCCTTCTGGTCTCTGCTTATAGGTGGCAGAGAAGTGCTTGAGTTTGGGAGCCCAGAAAGCACTTTACATAGCAGCAGACATGGGCAGCGAGTCAGACCCCGAGAGAGTGGTAGATTTTGCTCGGGAAAAGCTTGGAGGGTTGGATTACCTGATTCTGAACCACATTGGCCCGAGCCCCTTCAGCATGTGGGAGGGAAATGTTGAACACGTCAGGTGGCTGATGAAGGTAATGCAGCATTTTGATGGTCTATCAGCACATAAAATGAGGGAAATGCACTGATCTCTGAATGTGTGTGTGTGTTTGTGTACTTTTCAAAAGGTGAATTTCTTCAGCTATGTTCAGATGGCTTGGAAAGCTTTGGACTCCCTCGAGCAAAGCAAAGGGTCACTGGTGATTGTTTCATCACTTTTGGGTAGGTTTGTCACAGGATCTTTATACACCTGTTGATAACAGCAAACTACAAAACATACACATATTCATACGTGTGTATTGATTACATCATCATTATATATCATATATTATACATATATATATTAACTCTGTTTTATAGCACTTTTTCATAACCAAATTACAAAGTGCTTTCCAAGGAAAAGAAAAACGAAAATAAAGAATAGACCAAACTATGTTGAAAACATGTTGATAAATGTGAACTTTCAATGTCCATTTTTGAACTTGGAAACAGCCGTTGGCAAAACAATGATAACTCAAGGTCTATTTTGTTGCTGCTCTGGATCTTTTGATCAAATCACATGAACTTCATTAGCAGATTGGAATTTTTAAGCATTTTAAGGACCAGTGTCACTTTTTTTTTACTAGTCCTTGAAGTGCTCAGAAGAAAATTGGCTACTACTTGACATTTGGTATAAAATTCCATCTTCTGAGGAATATCATGTGATATGATTCAATGCTCGAGAACACCTACTAAATGTACGTCAAGCTGAGGTTTAAATTTTGTTCTTACCTCCCGAAAGTTCTTAACTTATATGTGCAGTAGGCACTAGTTGACATCAAATCTATTAGTACAGACATTTTTAAAGGAGGCCCAAAAAAGGCCACAATAGAGTCTTATATTTCACAACTGACAAAAGTGTCTTGGAAAAGCTGGCTCTAATAGTATCTGATGCTTCACAGGTAAAATTCCCAGTCCCTTCGTGGTACCGTATACCTCAACAAAATTTGCGGTGAACGGTTTCTTTGGGGCCCTTTACCATGAGCTAGCTATGAGGAAGAGTAATGTGTCCATCTCTATATGTACACTGGGGCTCATTGATACTGATTCTGCAATGGAGAAAGTCAGGTTGGTTAAATCTATAGGCAAATTTATTTGGCATCATTAATATTATTTGTGTAGTTTTTTACTCTGTGCTACCCACAATGGTTAAGTGAAGTATTTTTTCTGTATCCTAGGGGAGTCACTGATGTACCAGCATACCCTGCCACAGATGCAGCTTTGAACATCATCATTACAGGAGCTACAAGACAGCCAGAGCTCTTCTACCCTTGGTTCACCCACATTGTGAATCTAAGCAAAGACTGGATCCCTTCTGCCACAAGTTATATCATCCAGAACTCCTACAAATACAATCCATGAAAAATATTTATCTGTAGTGCTGTTATAAATTTTCTCAATCAAATACATGGACATATCATGAATTTCTATCTATATATCTATCTATATAATAGGATTAGAAATTTGGCATCATATTTATAATGTAATGATATACACAGTATAAATCCACTTCCCAAATTTAGCTTTGATATTGTGGTTCACCCAGATTTTTTGCCCTAATCTTTAACTTTCCAGTTGGGAAATCATTTACCTCACAGGCAAATAGATCAGGTTACTATATATAACAAACTGGACCTTGTCCTCCTTTCCTCATCTTGCTTTTGGGAGAGGTCCAGTTCTATAAAGTCCACAGGGGAGAAAAGCTCATGGTTTGGGTTGTTTCCTTTTGGCCTACCTCAAAGAGATTAAAAAGGGGTTAGTTCCTGTCTGCAGCGGTCATGGACAGTACAATCCACCACCAGCTACTGCACCAACAGATATCAGGTGCAAATTCAATAAAAAACACCTATTTTACCACTCAAAAGACGACACATTGGGCAGCACACAGCGGGAGAATGTTCTGCCTGCAAGTCACGCCAGGAAAAGGAAGATGCTGAAGAACAGGAGACACCTCTTCTTCCTCCAGTGATATTCAGTGGTGGTTGGAACATCAGACTTTTCACATTACAGACACTCTGTGGTAAAAGTGACAAACATGGTACACTCAAAAAGTCATTCAGGGGACATTACCCCATTACTTCATAAAATTCAAATTCAGTGATTTAATCTAACTTTTTGAATGCAAACATAATACCACTGAGCTGCGGTGACACAGTAACTTTGGTAATTTCTGCATCTTACAACTGTAACTAATTTAATTTCCAATTTCTTTGTTTATTAAAAAGAAAATAGGGCTGCACAATTAATAAAAATATTATCAAAATCACAATTTGGCCAAGTGCAATATCCAACTTACACAACCTGCAATCTTTTTTTGATAAAGGTAAAAAAGTGTCACAACATACCATAAATTGAGCATTGTGGTGCTAAAGAGACGCCTCAGCCTACAAATCATATTCTCCAGATGTAAGGTAACATGTTTATTTGGTACATGCCCCAAAAAAAATCACATCATCATCATTTTTTAAATTTTTTTTTTTTTTTTTTAGTAAAAATGATATTGCAATATCTACCAAAATAATCATGATATGATCTTTTTTTGGATACCGTTCAGGATTAATAAAAAACGAAATTCAAGTTGTGTTAATTTGTCTGATGAGTTTGTGGCATATTTTTTTGCCTTTATTTGACAGTGGATAGGTGAGAGGTGACAGGAAACAAGAGGAGAGAAAGGTTCCCTGGCTCGAACTCAAACCTGAGATGTTGTGATCAGAGAATAAAGTGTGGTTCTCAAACATCAGGCCACCAGGACACCCCATAACCAGTTTCACTGAGGTCCAAAAGGAAATTCACTGCACAAAGAACAATTATAAACTCTGCAACAACTGATTACTAAAGCATTATCAGTTGAATGCTTATTAAGACTAATTGGAACAATCTTTGAACATCCAAACTTAGATTTATTTAATTTAATTAAAACATTCAGTCATGCCTCAATACCATACCTACTGAGGAAGAGGTTTTAACCTGAATGGAACAGTGCTTTGAATGTCCACATGAGGGCAGTAGTACTAAAGTAGTGAAGTAAGATTACTTCCTATCCACAGCAACCAGTGAAGTCCATTCCCTATTGAGAAAAAATCTGAAATGGCAGAGCATCATGCATTCATAGCAAACTGGTTTGAATTTTCTGGTTTCAAATACTAACGTCTGTGCTTGAAAGAAAATGGCAGGGTCTGTGCTCACAGATTTACCTCATTTTTATTTATTCATTTAATGCATGTTAAACCCCCATCAGCATACTACTCCTAACCCTCCCTGTTCCTTTTCCTGTCTTCACTGTTCTCCACCCCTGGATTCCTCCCCATCTCCATTCTTCTCATTTAGTTTCATCTTTCCAAAGCTGGCCACAGTAGGCGTTGCAGACTTCCTACAGAGCAGCACTTTCTCAGTGGGTTCCTTTGTGTCTTTGCTCATCATCTCCAAAAGCACCGCAGGCTTCCCATGAAACTGTTGGCTCAATCCATCCTGGTGGTCTTTTCTTTATTGTAATACACCCTATAGGTTGTACCCTGCTGATAGAGCAGTTTTCTTCTACTGTATATCCAGAATACCCAGAGTGAGTTGTCATTGTCAGAAAGAAAGAAAGAAAGAAAGAAAGAAAGAAAGAAAGAAAGAAAGAAAGAAAGAAAGAAGGCCTGACTAAATCTTATAGTCTTATTTGAAAAGTTGGTAAACAAAAAGAAAAGCAATTTCTCCTGGATACATATAAGTGATTCTCCGAGTGAGAAGTGGCCTTGAATCTGTAATAAAACTTGGCACTCTGCTATTTTCTTGTGTTGCTTGGATTGATAGGACTGACGGGGAGAAGCCATTGGAATGCATCTTCTGTCTTGACACTCTTGATGATTTGAGAGGATTTTGAAGATGGTATAATCTCCCTGCAGATGTTGTGGAAAGAAAAAAATCTCTCCCTTCCTCCCGCTCCTTCTGTGTCTTTCTCTGTGACACACACACACACACACACACACACACATACAAAAATGGTGGGGCCTCCTGGGGAGCAGAGCCTGCATGGCCTGGGAGAACAGCCAGAAACACCTGCAACAGATTAGTGCTCCTAATGCTAGGTAATAAATCCTCTCACCCTTCTCTAGCATCTCCATCTCCATGGATCTTATAGGCTGAGGAGCATCCACCCACAACACTGACTATAACACACACACATGCACATAAACACACACACACACACACGCACATAAACACACACGCATAAATACACCTATACAGTATAGTATAAACACTGAAACCTTGATGCATCCATCCATATATTTGTATTATCCTTCTCAGTTGTTATCAACACCCACGCATGCTGCCAATTAAACCACATACTTACATTATAGCTGTCCTATTGCTTCAGTATCGTGGAGGTTTTCCCCAGGGTTTAGACTGGCCTCTGTATCAAGATCAAACAATTTCATTATGGCTGCAAACAGTCAAGGCCAAGACCAAAGCTGAGCTTGGCTGCTTTACTGACTACACATAAAACTTGAAAGGTGGCAGACTGATTGGCCATTTGGGCCATTGCTTACAGAGGTTTGTAATGGAAGTTGAATTCTGCTTTAATATCCGTGATACAGCATATTATTTCATCTCCATGTTGATAGATAGAGAAAGACAGTCTCTGTGTGTGCTACAATAGTAAAATCAAATGACATGTAAAATATGTCTATAAACCTTTTCCACATAGTCTTGAGTATGTCCTCAGTTTTATATTTGCCCACAGAGTTTGCTGATGCAGCAGAAATGTCATGTTTCGGATCATAAATAGTTACCTATCCATGGAAATGGCACAGTACACCTCAACCATCATGCACCAGTCCCAATTTATGATTCTTCCTTGTCCTACTTCTTTGAGCATAAAGGGCACTGCTCCACAAATCCCTATCCAGCTTCATCCATCTACTATCATTTTTTGTCTCAACTGTTCTGTTCTCTAATAAAGATGTTTAGTCAGTAAAGGAATATTGCAACATTTTGTTAAATGCACATATTTGATTTGTTGCTGAGTTAGATGAGAGGATTGATACTGCTTTCATGTCTGTGCAGTAAAAGTTACCTAATCATAGCATAAAGACTAGTTACATGCTGTAGTCCCTGCTGGTTGCCAAGCAACTGGTCCCAGATAAGAAATAGTCTAGCACAAAACCCCCACCTAAAACAGCAAATTATCCTGTTTATGCCTCTGTTTTGTACAAGTTTTTTTTTTTAAAAATTAGATATAAAGTATTAATTGGTGAGTTTCAGAGGTGCTGTTTGGTGAATCTTTTTGCTAAGCTAACTGGCTAGGGGCTCCAGCTATATATTTAAATGACAGATATGAGAGTTGTGTAAATCTTCCTATCTAACTCTTGATAAGAAAGTGAATATGCATATTTTCCATAATTTCAAACTTTTCCTTAAATGCTTTCACTATGTAACCTACTGTAAACCATTTCACAATTATCTGATATTGTTTTGAAGCTGCAGTACTTACTGAGTTGCAAAACTGAAACATGTATGAAACATGTATGTACTATAGTAGCTTGTAACATGATGTTACTGAATAAAACAAATATGTGAACATACTGTATAATGCAGGCACTGATATTTAAGCTACTGATAAAAAAGCAATAAATATTTATATCAAATTATCTGTAGTGTAAATGTTACCTAAAATCAAATTACATCCATTTATTGGCTCTTCAACTTGAAACCAGCCATTGATCTGCGTAGTTGTGTGAGGTGATTAATTTTGAAAAGAATGTTAATCTTCCTGAATACCGAGCTTGTGCATGACCTCTGAAAAGTTTTCACAAAACATTGAGCTATGATAACAAAAGGAGAGAGTGAGCGAGAGAGACAGAGAAGGGGGGGATGAAAACCTATGAAAGGAAGCGTCAGTGTGAATAAAAACTGTGGGTGTGAGAGGTGGCTGAGGTGGCCCTGTGACCCCTGACCTCCTTCCCCCAGGTCCATTCAGAGCAGCACAATGGTTGACACCTGTGTCCTTTCAATACTGGCACTATTATTGTTTACATCAGCCAGTGGGAGAGAGAGGGAAAGACAGAAAGAGGCCAGAGGTGCTGTGAAGCAGGGTGCACCAGCCTCATGCCAACCCCCCCACCCCCTCCACCCTTCCCCTCTCTCTTTCAAAGACAGGTGCCTTCCTATCTCTCTCTCTCCTTCCTTCTCTCCCTCTCCCCCTCTCTCGCTCTCTCTGTGTCTGCCAATCTCTTCTCTCTAATTATTTTAGATAACTCCAAACACATCGGCGGAAGGAGAGGATCCACAAAGAGGACAGACAGGGTGTTTTTACATCCTGTACTTAATGGTCTGACATCGCTCTATTGCTGCTCTTCTGTATCAGCATTAACACAGAGGGCATCAGATAAAGTTAAGGGGGGAATGTTCAGGATCTTC